TGTAATAATAAATCTTTGTGCACTAAGACTATACAAACTAATAAAATTAATTCTCATCACCTAGCCAGATCACTTTTTTCTAAAAGTTAAAATTTTTTTCCATATAAAATTTTTTTTATTCTTGTATAAAAAAAAACTTATAAAATTTTTTATATTAAAAAATTTTTTAAATTTAACATTTTTTGCTGGCCAGCCAGATTTTATTTGTTTGTTCTATATAATGAGAATCAATTAATTTAATTTGCATAGTCTAATTAATTTTCAACATAAAATTTTATATATTATTTTGAATTCTAACTCTAAATTTTAATTCTTTAAATAAAAATGTAATAGAATAGTAATAATTAACTGCAGTAATCTTTAGCAAAATTCTTTATACATAATATTTTTATATTAAAATTTAGAACTAAGATGCATTATATACTAAAGTAGTGTTAGATATAAAGGTTAGAGATTAGATTAAAAGCCTAAATTTTAGATTACACAAGGTTTTGAGAATTCTAAACATTTTTATTTAGTATATCTAAACCCTGTTTCTTATCAATTTTTTGAGATATAAATTATTCTTTACTATATATGACAATGTATGTATCCTGACAACATATATAGGTAGATTTTATGATAATTTAAATAAATGCTAATAATTCATAAAATTTGATCCAATTATTTATGTGATGTTGTAAAATTGCCAGTATTTAAATGGGCTGAGTGTACAGAAAAGGGGAAATCAACAAAAAAAGGTCTTTGGAAAATCAATTTTTATGTTATAAATTTTATAATAAATCATAAGAAATTGTAAATTTTAAAGAGCTACACTGCAAAATTTTATTAATATAACTACTTTTGTGTCTTAAGAAAAATGATCTTGATATTATTTTAAATTAATTTATACAAAAAAAATTAATTTTAATAAATTTGTAAATTTCCCCTTTCTGTAGCACCTAGCCCAAATATTCAAAATATAATAAATTAAATTGTATAAATTGTATAATTGGTTGATTGTCTTCTGAATTATAAATTGCTTATGAAACCGTCATGAAACCGTTTATGAAAACATGATACAATTAAACATTTTGTTTGTATTTGATTTGTTATACTGACTTATTAATATTTTGATATAGTGAGGCTGCGCAATATCTTCTTATTATTCGGAGTGATTATATAATTCTATTGTATTATTTAATTTTAAATATCACAATATTCCTATCAAAAATTTTCGTCCATACGATTTCGGTGAAATTTTTATAATGGTCCTTAGATTTTGAAATTAGCTGTAAAAAAACTTGTCAGTGAATGAGCTGTCGGTAAAATAAACCTCTCGGTGAATTGATTGTCGGTGAAATAACACGGATCCAATTATGTCCTGTTAGTAAAATGGATTGTCAATATTACGACTTCGATGAAATGGTATTTCAGAAAAATGGACTTCGAGAAGTTAACCATAAAACATTTATAAAATGCTAAAACACGACAAAATTTAACGCGACCACTAAACATAACTAAAAATAATCCAATAATTCAATAATAAGCAACTAAAAAAGTGAAAAGAAAAGCAACAACTGCAGTTGTAATAATTTTCATGTCGTAAAAGTAATAAGCTCTGGACCAGACGATGTGGATGTGTATTATGAGGCAAATACAATAATCACTAATGTGAACTTTAAAACTATCGGGTGATTTTTTTTTAATAATTATTCATTGCCTTTTAAATTTATCTTCATTTGAATCTGTTTTAACTTTATGAAAAAACTACTGAAAGGGTAATGGTTATAGTCAGCGTTGTTAACTGGAAGCACTGGAACTCCACTGGAAGCAAAAATTAATAGTACCGCTGAAACTTTTACTATTAGAAATTTTCACTGGAAGGCTAGAAATTCCCACTGGAAGCCAAAATTAACATCACTGGTTATAGTGATTACAAATCATATAGCGTTTGAAATAAGTGTTGGGATCCTTTGAATATTCATCATAGCTATTTAATGAATATTCACGGATTTTAGTCATTCGCGAATGGTACTGAATAAATATACAGATTTACATGAATATGTGTCCATTGAATATTCAAAGATGTTCATAGAGAATTTGCAGATACGTATTTGCAGATATAACGATAATTCCCGGATATTCAGAGAATCTCATGTGATTACGTTTCTCATATTTCTGTATTTATCAAATATTAGACAGAATATTTACACAGAATTTACCCGGATATTCGCTCGGGAATATTCACACAAAATATTCACAGATATTTACACGGATATTTACAGAGAATGTTCATACGGGTCCGTATCGATTCACCGACAATCACTTTACCGACAGCTCATTTTGACGACATCACGCCAGGTGAAATATACCTGCAACCAATGAAATGCTTAACCCTAACCCTATGTGATGTCGGCTAAATGATCGTTCGGTGAAATGATTGTCGGTGAATCGAAGGGATCCAACAATATTATCGGCTTCTATGTAAAATTAAAAATTAACTTTCGTAAGAGTCTGTCAATTTTTTTTATAGTCAACTTTATTATACAGTATTACGAACTAAAAAACAATTATCATCTTTGTTTTCATATGAACCGGTAAAACTTTATAATTTGGAAAAAAAATTAAGATTCGATATATCCTGAGGTCGTTATAAGAAACTCGATAAAGGATGTGATTCGTCAATGGTTTCGTCAATTATCATTAATTTCGTCAATCGTCATTATCGTCAACAGTTTGTCATCAGCGGTTTCATCAGGTATGTAATTTGACGAAACCTTTCGTCAATTTAAAAATAGTTTCATCAAGCATCTTTACTCTGATTGGGATGATTTGAAGAGCCTGTTCGATCAGAAACACTAACCGGAATCGGGTTATTTTTTAATATTCGATTTTTTTTTTTTCGTTGTGAGAAGAAAAATCTCGATTACATCACAGAATTATTAAACAATTTCGGTGCTGCGCACTTTTCTGACAATCACTTCATAAACATTTTATTTTATAGACAAATTATTTGCAGACAATCACCTAGAGGTTGTGCCTGGGTAGATATTTTTATTATACGACTATAATAAATTATCCGAATATTACCGGGTAATTTAATAAACTCAAGTAGAAATTTTCTTGACATCACAATTTTTAATTACTTGATACACCATCATTGTTATTAGAATTAGGTTAGTGCAAATTATAAATGAACCTGTATATATGGAAAGAGTTTCCGGCGAAACAAATTGTCGATGAAATTTAATTATTCATGAAATTAATTGTAAATAAACTTGCTTGTATTAGTTAATTGTCTGTGAAAAAAAAGGATTCTATCGCTATGAAGCAGTGTATGAATTGTAAATATAGATGCTGGTGAAACTAAATAACGTTGGTGAAACTGGTGAAACTGGTGACTATCTAAAATCTGATTGGCTATTATATTAACTTTCACCAGTTTCACCACCATTCACCACCATTCACCAAGAGTTTCACCAGTTTCACCAGCATCTATAGTTGTAAAGAATTATTGTTAGTGCATAAACCCAACCCAATATTTTGTCTAACGGTGATTATCGCTAAATCTAAACGCCTTTCGAAGGTTCTAGCCGAAATAGTGTGGTAGCGTGATAGCGTGATAGTTAGTGATATCTTTCAATGCCCAGCAATTTTGAATTTATTTTGGACATATATGTCCAATTTTTCAATAAACGTAATTTTATAAAACATTACGATAAAATGTTTCATCAAATTACTCCCTATAACTTAAATCATAGTCCTTTGCGATATTAAAGATAGAGATACGGTATTAAAAATAGAGATGCAATATTAAAGATAGTGACAAATCAAATCATTCATTAAACACTATTTTGACACACCTTACATTTTTAGCGTTAGAGATTAAAGTTATTGTTAATAATTTTCTGAGCATACGTACGTATACAGTACGTATATAATTTACTGATTTAATCAATTCTTCAGCAACTATATACTTGTATGTTTTTCAGAAAAAAAAAACCGAATTTTATTTAAAATTAGAATTTATTTCTATATTTTAGAAAACTTTTTATTCTGTGGCTAAACCTTATGTTTTAATACAGCATAAGATCAACAGATGTCCTAGCACTAATGGAAAATTCTATAATACATAATTCTCTTATGGAATAAGCGGCTTTGCACATTATAAGCTGATCGTCTTGCGGGAGTACCTAATATATACGATCATATAACATTTTTTTTATCATTAGGTATGCTTCTAATGGAAATATATATACGTATACAATTTAAAATCTTACACTCCATCTACGTACGCATAGTTAATCTATCTTGTCATAACTCAACGTGATTTAGTTTCTTATACTGAATTTATACTATATGTGTTATTAAATTATTGCAATCGTCGTATCTAGATATAAGGGTTTTTTGAATAAATGAGTGTTTGAAAACACAATATGACAGTTGATCATTCAAGTCAGAAAACAGAAAAAAGAAAAAATGACCGTAAATCTGAAGCGAAAAGACTATCTATATCTGGCTATCAACAACTATATATATTCTGACTAAATTTAGAAAACTTGGCCACTTCAATACGGCATAACATTTTATTGACATTCGTATCTTACTTAGCCCACTACATCAGTTCGGTATGTTCGGTATACGAAGTCGGGAAAAAAAGTTTCTGTAAACAAATAAAAGTGGCTTTTTTGTTTTTGTCTTTTTTTTTTCTAAAAAAAAAAAAAAAAAAAGCTTTCTATTAAATTCGTAAGTACGGAAGTAATATCAGCTTTTAGCTGAGGCAAAGAATATATTTAAAAATATAAAAACTTGATATTGATATGAAGCCTCTAGAGACATTGTCACTGTGCTTGTTTCTTGCTGTTGGCTTTGCGATTGTTTGTGCGGATAATTCACCAATATGTTGGGATCACCCGAATCCGTTAAAACCATCTGAAAGAAAACGGGCGCCATGTTTTTTAATGGCAGACACGACATATTCAAACAATTTACCATACACAAAACGTGACGAAAGCGACATGTTTGTGGTTACTTTTAGATGCCTGGTGAATAATCAGACTCTTTGTGACAAAGTAAAAAACGCGTTTACTACTGCGGCACAAATCATTACTGCCGCGATCGCGTTTACCACTCCTGTAACCGTCAATGCTACCTTCACTGATTTTTGTTCACTTTTGAGTCAATGTGCTACAACTTCAGGAACTCTAACGTTAGGTAAGTTATTTATTAATCGGTGATTCAATTCAATTCTTTCTTTAATACATTATTAAATTTCTTAGGAGGCGCTGCACCTGCAAGAACTATTCAATTTTTAGACGATGATGGTGTACAACGATTATATCCTCAGTCCCTTATGAAACAGAAAAATGTTACTGGTGTTAATCGATCCTTTTACTCTGATTATGACATTTTAGCCCTTTTCAACAGTCAGGCAGATTATTGGTTTGAAGGTGATGGTAGAATAAAATCGAGTCAGTCAGATTTCTTATTTGTTATATTACATGAGCTGGTTCATGGATTAGGTTTTACTTCTGGTTATGATGATTTTCTTAATACACCACCGGAAGCATTGACACCACAAATCATGTACGCTCAAGGTCCCGGTGGTATGATATTTGCTGGTTTTATAGAAATGGCATTTGATAAATGTATGGTTATCCTTCCATCTGGTCAACGTGTAACAAATATTACACAACAACTAAATACCTTTAAAGGAACATTTATTAATGGACAAGATTTTATAGCCAAATTTAAAGCTTCACCCCAATACCAATTGGCTCTTAAAATGATGGCTGAAGCCACCACGCCTCATTCTTTAGGACTTTTACCCCCTAATTCTACTGATGTTAAAGATGCTATAATTCTTGAGACAACAATAAACCCTTATAGATCTGGTTCAAGTGTTAGTCATGTGGATTATAAAACTTATACTAAAACTAGTGACTTTTTAATGAGATACTTGCAAGAACGTGGTATAACATTACGTCAATCAGTGGCTTTGGGTGGGAGTTATCCTAATGGACCTATAGGACCAAAATTAAGAATATTTTTACAATCAATAGGGTAAACTTGAAAGTTTTTGTTTCGCAATTTATTTATCGCAATATGAACTGGATTTTAACAATTATCATTTAATATTTTTCAGATATACTATTCAATATAAATCTGGTCCATTTGATCCTGTCCCTGGTGTAAATCCATTCGATAGTGCTGGCAAGCCGAACATTGAAATTTCCACATCTTTCTTAAGATACATATTATTCTTGTTAATAGGTCTAGCTATAACTTTATGGTGATCGGGGATGGGTTTATTATATGTAACATAATTTACGTATATTAAAATAACGAATTTTTTTTTTTTTTTTGCACTTGTATATTATCTTATTCGTCATTTAAACCTTAAATTTTTGTAAATTATTCATTATTAATACTTATTCAATCTATTATGCCGATTAATACTTGTCAAAATTCTATTAAACCATTTACGTGATTCTATTATAATTAGATTAGCTGAAAGCTTTAATTATGACGATAATATTATCGTTATACGTATTTTTAATATCGGTACACATAGAAATTAATTAATACGTACCAATTTGACATGACACAAAAAGTCACATGTTTAAAAAACCTTAATAAAAAAAAAATAAAATAATTGACTTTTTCCAGGTTGGGCTGGCGATCACAATATCGCGGAATTTTTTTTTCCTTGGTTAATCTATGTCTTGCCAAATAAAATCTATAAATTTAAAGTTTGTTATTGTACCAAACTCAATTCTTTAATATATAACATTAAAATATTATTGGTTTTTAGTTGGCGGCAATAATTTGAATTTGAGAACTGTTCTAGGAAAATGTCGATCTGGGAATTAAAGGATTCCCCGATTAAGATACGTAAATAGTTATTTTTTTTACCCTTACGTATTTTTACATATCAGTGCTTATTACGACTGATTATTACTGTAATGGGTCGGTCTATGATGTCATAAATTAAAATCCCGAAGCCTTTAATGAAAACAATATTCATAACGGTTTTTATTTTTTATTTTTTTTTTTAAAAATCGATTTTAAAAATATAGATTACTAATCAATAAATGATAATATGGGGTCTTTGCCTTGAAAATCACCTTCCGACATTTCCGATCGGGTTAATTCGGACAAAAATAAACCCGAGTACTGGTTCATGTTCATATGTTAATGGTCTTATAACTTTATTGATTCAATAGTTTATCGAATAACTATTGAATCAATAAAAGTAAAAGATGATTAACATATGAACATGAACCAGTACTCGGGTTTATTTTTGTCCGAATTAACCCGATCGGAAATGTCGGAAGGTGAGTTTCAAGGCAAAGACCCCATATTCGGATGATATTAGTTCTGACGAGGAATCTACACCATTGGTAATAGCTTTTTCAAAGAAGAAATTTTTTTCGAAAAAAATGAATATTTTAATGAAAACTTTAATACTAATAAAGAGAATTATGGCAAAAGATGAAAGACGAAACGTTGATGGGCATTGAAACTCTGACGAACCGTTGGAACTCCAATAAAGAGGTGCGAAACTTCGTGAAAGTTAAACATGTGACTTTTAATTTTAATCAAGGTAAACTTTTTTTTACTTATCGGTCTAATTGTTGGCTATAAAGTGCCAAGCAATACTCGGATCAAAAATGCGACTTTCAATTTAGTAATTTTTTTGCTTATCGTTTTAATTATGTTTTACATATGATTGGAAAATGTATTAAATAGATAAAAGACTACTTAAATTTTTTTGCTGTAAGATTTACTAGTTGTTACAATCTTTGGTTTTATTGATACGATCTTTGATTTTATTGACACAATCTTGGGTTTTATTGATTTTGCCAATTTCTAGTTTCGCCACATTTTGCAGTTTCGCCATTTCATTTTTTTTTAGCAAAAATCGAAATTAGGATTTCGACTTCACCGGCACGAAATCTCTAGGTTTTGCTTAATAACTATAACTGCCACGTCAAAATATTCAGGACAAACAAATTAGAATGTTTGATTTTAACTGTCCAAAAACTATTTTCGAAAAAAAAACTTGAAAAACACGCGTAATTGTGTATAGAAAACAAAAATTGAATCAAGCAAATTATTTCGTTAACGTTAAATATGAGATTATGTAATATAAAAAAGCGTATTGCTATATTGTACCCCATGCATTTGATACCTCCTTTCTATATTCAAAATTATGAAACCACCTACAGGGATACTAAATAAAAATATTTTTTAACTAAATTTTTCTATAAACTATACCTTACCCTAACCTCTAACCTTTACCCTTACCCTAATATTAGAGAAGTTTCCTATAAAAAATATTCAATGAATTTACGTACGTACGTACATACAATTCCGTAAAAATCTTAATTTTTGTTATGACCGTATGGGCAATCCCGTAAAAAAAAAAAAACTGTATATGTACAATTATGTAAAAATCTTGATTTTTGTTAAAATCCTTTTTTGTTATTGACCCATTTTGGTGAGGTCACAAATTAAATTATTTGCTACTATACTATTTTTATACATATATTTATTATGAGAATAGTATGCTAGTTTATGTCGTGCGTCAGATTCGAAGAGACGCGTATTTAAAATTGAGTTGCGTAAAACCAAGATTATCATTTACGTAATAAACGTAATAATAATTAAACAACAAAAACAATTTATTGCGTATTTCGTACCGAGTTAAACTATAGAAATATTCATCCAATATGCGCAAATTCTTTATGTCAAAGATGTCAAAATTTTGGCATCGAATAAAAAAGAAAAGCACTAATTAATCAAAAATTATAAGAATTAAAGTTTTTTTTATCTCATTAATATTACATCGCGTACTTCACTACTTTGCGTTGTTGATTAAATACTTGAAATTAGATAATATTTGAATTATCAATAAATATCTTTCATTTGGGTGGAAGTAAACGTATTATATGTAATTACTGCAATTAGAGTATTTACTGCAGAAATTATTTTGGCCTATTCAAAACTAATTACAATATAAGCTGTAATGGCTTCAACACAAGTCGAAATATTTTGGTCAATGTATAATACAGCATGAGCGACGCCCAAAGAAAACTAGACTTTGGCTTAGGCGTTTAAATCTAAAACCTACTCTAAAAAATCCGAAGAATTTAGTCCGGCGTGTTATAAATTTAAGAGTTCAGTCTTTGTTTTTTTTTAGCATCACTTCTATAAATTATCAATTTAGTTCAACGCAAACCTTCTATTTTGACCTTACGCATCTCCAATTCAAATTTTAATCTGACACATTTCAGTTTTAAATCCACACCCATTCTAATTTCACGCACAACATATATACTCAAATGCGATTTTATAGTATATACCTTGTTTAGAGCACGGGGTGCGTTTGAGTGTAACCCAGGTCCGCATAAGGAGAGATTCTTCCTGCGTTGCGAATACAAAGTAAAATTTCCAATTACTTAATATAATTGGAAATTTTACTTTGATTTGCAACGCAGGAAAAAGCTCTCCTTATGCGAATCTGGGTTACACTCAGGGTTGGCAATGGAGTCAATGGAGCTCAATGGTTATGCAATGGAGCTCAAAAAACTAGTATCCATTAGTTCCATTCAGAGTCCGACGCCCCTACGAAAAATTGTTCACCCCTGTAATTTTGACCAATCGAATTTCAGGATCAGATGTAACGTAAAAATCGAAACGAAACCACTTTTTTACAAAAAACAAGAATGACTATATTTTAATTAGGAATCCACCTTCTGCGGCCTAATTGAAAATGTTCCTAGTGATGTTTTACTAATAAACACTACATTTTTCTAATTCTAAACCTAACTATAACACGTTTTCTTGGTTTTCATTTTACACGTAACTTTTTTACGAAAAAAACCACGTTTAAAATTACTGGGGATGAACAATTTTTTGCACTGTACGTACGTACGTACGTACCTAAAATGATACACTAAACGAGGTACGTACGTACGTACGTACGTAGGTCAGCTGTTAAAAATCGAAAAGATCACTGCTAATCAATCATATTCGTAACACCGCGTTTGTATAAATTTTATATGCATTTATACTATACGCAGTTGTTACCTCACTAACCATACACACGATTTGCTAATTTTAACATACGGGTAATTATTTTTGAACCCGGACCAATTTTAAATAGTACCCTAGCCATGTCAAAAAAAAGTGTCGCTAAAATGAGATTCTACTTGAACCATGTGATGATCTGCACGATC